GAATCAATTCTTTTATAACATGGCGACAAGAACTTGGGCGCCAAAAATGTTTTATTTGTGATTGACTACAAAGTTCTCACAATGCACGGAGAAGAAAAATAAAGGTCATTAGGATCCTAACACGCCAGAATCTGTTGCGCAACAGTTGAATAAAAACGCTTAATCTCTTAACTTCTAAAATTGTCAATGAAAAATTCGCTTCTTCGAATTAATTATAATGAAAATGTTGGCAAACAAAGTCAAAAATAGTCAATGAAAATGCAGACAAACAGAGTCAAAATACTCAAGTTTAAGTAAACATCTTACCTTGGGAAAAGTCAAAGGCTCGAAGTAGGGTTTGGATTGTTCAGAATAATCTTCACATAGCCGAAACTTAAACAAAGGAAACTTGCACTAAACTCGACGGAAATTTTACAGCTAAATTGAAACTGCACAGGTCATGTTATATACGTACGGCGGAGCGTATATAGAGATTTCGTTCATGATGGCTCAATAGGAATTAGGTAAGACTAGCGCGCGCCATATGTTATAAATGCTCTTTTAGCATACATAAATTACAATGTATCAATAAAACAGAAACTAAACAGAAACAGAGACCAACGACGCCAGGTACGAATCACGTTTGGTGACCTTTTACAGCAAAAACTGGGGTTTTGTATATATCGTTCTTCAGTCATTGATTAACTGGCCATTGTCAAGAGGTTATTTTGGTGGCTGGGACGAGTTTTAGTGGCCTTTGCCGTTTTAGAGAGGTGGCCGTTGAAGGGAGCTCAAAATAAGAGTGAATTTATGGCTCTCCGTTAGAACCAAAAAAGTGGCCATTGTAGAGACATGGCCGTTCAACTGTACTTGATTTTTTATTAAAGAATTCAGAACCTCTTTAATACAAGAAATATTTGGCGGCGATTGGTGTATTTAATTTCCGACTCGCTTAAAAGGAATAAATCACTTTGCTTTGGCGTATCTCGAGGTCAGACAACACGCCTAAATTAAATTAAAAGGTAAATCTTAAATATTAAATTACTCTTAGGAAATTAAACTCGTCAGTACAATTTTCTTTCAAATGTAACTGTAACATGCTTTAAAGACGTTCGCGCGAAATTTTCCAGTCAATAGATTTTTTTTTTAAATTTTTACTGCAGTCAGATAATGAGTTACTTGGTCAGAAATGCAAAAAAATTGGGGTCACCGACTTTGTTTCAGAGATAAAGCGTGTGGAAAACTATCCTGATTTTGAAAAATTGGCGCACGTAATTCAGCATGGTTTACAGGGGTTTATAGTTAAAAATATCGAAAGTGAGTCAATGGAGGCAAACGATCTTAGTCATTTTAAAAATGGTCCTGTAACCAGGTGGTTGATTCATGATTGAAAAACGTTACTCTGGTTTAAAAATGTAAAAATGTTAGTAAAAATTCTTTTTGTAAAAGTCCCAACGTTTCGGCTAAAACTTCAGCCTTCATCAGGGGAAAGTGACAAGGAATTTGTTGAATAGGCACGTTCTTATACTATGCAAATCGGCAAATCGGAGCTAATTATGTTCTGTCCCTTGGGGCTAAATTTAAAAATTCGTGCGGCAAGTGCATACCATCATTACGGTTCAGCGGATTCCTACAAGTGTTAATTTCCCATGCTTCTAAAATACGTCTGTTGCGCTCTTTGAAGATTCCCAGGAGATGGTGTGGCCAGAGTGTAAACAATGTTCCGCTAAAGCTGACTTGTGCGAGTTTTTGTTTACAACCGTTTTTTGATGTTCTTTTAGCCTGGTGGAAAATTTTCGTTTCGTTTCTCCGATGTAGCTTTTGTCACAACCTTGACAGGGAATTGAATAAATTGCGCCACGAGTCTGATCTTTCGGGACTGAGTCTTTTGGTTTGGGAAATAAACTGCCGATGGTATGGTGTGGTTTTAAAGCAACTTTGATATTGTAATTGCTTAGGATTCGCTTAATCGGTTCCGTAGTGCCCTTGACATACGGTAAAATGCGGAAACCTTTTTCGTCATCCGATGGAGTTTCTGCATGAAGGCTGAAGTTTTAGCCGAAACGTTGGGACTTTTTACAAAAAGAATTTTTGCTAACATTTTTACATTTTAAAACCAGAGTAACGTTTTTCAATCATGAGACAAATAACTAGTTCACTTCTTCAGAGGCTCTTGAGGGGATCATAGAAAGGAGGGCGCGTAATGCACCGCGCGCCTTCCGTTTATCCCAACCCAGGCTTCCATAGCGCGCTTCAAGGTAAATACAGCAGTAACCTCTGAGAACGAAAGACACTGACTGGAGTATTTTTTTCCAGTCCCATATTCAACTCCTAGGCCGCGCTTGTAAATAGCCAACTGGTGTGCTTCCTGTCAGTTGGGATTCCCCAAGTTACTTCATGAACAATCACTGAGTTTAGGCAATTCTTTGAAAAGTCATTACATGTTGCAACACTTCTTACTTCTATTTTTCTGGACAATTCATGGAATCACAAAGCGAAGATTAACTGTTTGCTTCTATGACGTCGTGATTTTGTTACGACAGAAATGACGAAGAATGTCATCTATCAAATCGTGCAAACTACATTTATTATTATGCATTTTTTCTTCCTTTTCATTGGCCCAAAGCCCACCACGTGACCTGCAAATAACTGCCTACAAATAATGGTCTACTCATGCGTAATACCGTCTAAATGTGTTTTGCTGCAAATAATATTTTACTCATGCGTAATTGTAACCAGGCATTCGGGTGAAGAACTGGTAGATCGCTTCCGTGAGCTGCTAGAGATTGTCTTAAATATGAAAACAAACTTGGCGATCGAATGATAAAACAATAATGTAGGCCATCTCCGAATTACCTTTAGCCTCTTTCTGAAAGCGAGTCTTGATGCCCATCCTTCATATGAAAATCAGATTTCATTCACATACAAAGTAAACTCATTTTCATATAAATGGTTGTGAACCAGGCCTCGTTTTGATGAAGAGGCTGAACTTGGTTATGGCAAATTATGATCCATCAAATGTCTTTGCTGTCGCACAATTCCTCCAAATGCTTCAGCTGAAATGAAACTGCACACGTCATTTTATTGAGCACGGCCGTGCGTACATAAAGATTTTGTTTATGATGGCTCAATAGGAATATCAAGTAACAAATCAGGAGAATTTTATCGTAGACGGCCTCTCGAAACATCTGTTTTGCTCCTTGAACTAGTATCCAATTCTTACAGATCCTTTTAGTGACACCGTAGAGTTCACTAACAGGAAGATCGAATCACGGCCTTTGCGAGCATGCGAGCAGTGCCTTTAGTTTTGCGAGCACTTTAGAAACTGCAAATGGCGAGCAATGAGCACTTCGTAAATTTTCCGCTAACCGTAATCTCTCCTTTATTAGAAGAAAACATTGTTTTCCCCCAAGTATTCCAACACGCATTTCGAGTTTCGGATTCCATGATCGGCAAACTGGTTTCAAGCTGATTGACTGAAAAAGATTCAACGCAATGAAAATTCATTCGGAGGCTTCAAGGGTCTAGCCAATGGCAGCCATACAGATCTGACAAGCTCTGAACGTCGATTAGTGATAGTAATATTCCTCATGTCCTCATGTCTCTAAGTTACTTTCCACCTTTGCGGGTGCCTTTCGTGGAGAATTTTTACGCGCGTGGACGTCACTTATGGTAATAGGACAGAGTGGAGTCCAACTCGGTCTGTTATCATAAGAGTGATAACAAAATCGGACGACCGTGCAGCGGGAGTCCGATTTGTTTATCACGTTTATGATTACAGACCGAATTGGAGGACACGAAGTCTTATTACCAATTAATCCTAAAAATTACAATTTCCGAGAAAAGAAGAATAGCCAAGTTATGAAAGAAAAGGGAATTTTACATTAAAATTCCTACAATGGAGAAGTCCACCGCACCTCCTACCGGCAATTAGGCGCCAAAAACACAAAAGCAAGCGCGCGCACCCACGTACGCACTTAACTACAACTTTCAATGTGATTGGCTTATTGAACTGTTAAATAACAAACTGTCCGATAACAACTTGGCAAGTGAATTAGTGGAAAATAGGAGTTGTTTAAACCAATCACAATCGAAGAAATTGTAACTTTTATGATTAAACGAGGAAGCATGTTTCCAGAGTGAATGTTTCCAGAAGCATTCATAGCGCGCGCATAT